ACCCTGTCTCAAAGAAACCAAAAAAATTGAGTTATTGACATAATTATTAAATAGTAAGTTTTTAAAATCCTAAATAAAAATCATCTATAAAAGATGTGTTTGTAAAAAGTAAGCTGTGCCTTACTTTTTCTAAACTGTCTTCAAAGTGTAAGAGGGTTTTTTTTTACATAATTCAATTCACTCTTTTTCATGAGTGGTTCATTCTTTTAATGTCCTCTTTACAAAGTCTGTGCTTAGCCCAGGATCACAAAGATTTACCATATTTCATTCTAGAAGTTGTATGGCTTTTACATTTCAGTCTATACTCCATTTCTAGTTCATTTTGGTGTATGATATAAAACAAATGTCAAAACCTAATTGTTTAGTTATAGATGTTCTAAAAATCACTTTATTTTGCTTATTTTTTATTTTCAATTGCTGTAAACATGCATAACAAGGAATTACCATAATAAGCACTTTTGAGTGTACACTTCAATGGCACTAAATTATTTGATAGTGTTGTGTAACCGAATCTACAGGACTCTTCATCTTACAAAGGAGAAAGTCTATATCTATTAAACAATTCCCCATTTCCCCTCTCCCTAACCCCTGGCACCTGCCATTCAGCTTTTTGATTATACATTTGACTACTCCACTTTAAATTTGACCTTCCATAAGTGGGATCATATAGTACCTATTTTTTTTTTGATTGGCTTATTTCACTTAACTTGTTCAAGATTCATCAATGTTGTGACATGTGTCGGAATTTCCTATCTAAAGCTATTTAATATCCTATCATATGTATAGACCACATTTTGTTTATCCTTTCCTCCATCAGTGAATACTTAGATTGCTTCTACCTCTTGGCTGTTATTACATGCTGCTATGAATGACATCATTCTTTAAAAAGGCATATTTTTGCCCTGGAATTCCCTTGACACTTTTAGAGAAAATAAATCTTGCCACATACATAGAGGTATATTTTGTATTTTTAGGTTTTCTGTTTTGTTCCATTCATCTACATGTCTATACTAATGGCAATGCCACACTGTGTTGACTAGTTTAGCTTAAATGTACCTTGAACTCTGGGACTCCAGGGCCTATGAGATGACTCAGTGGGTAAGGATACCTGCCTCCAAGCCTGAGCACTTCAGTTCAATCCCTGGGATCCACATGATGGAAGGAGAAAACTGATTCCCAAAAGTTGTCTTCTGATCTGCCCACACATACGTGTGGGCCCATACACAAAATAAGTAAATAAATAAATAAATAAATAAATAAATAAATAAATAAAATGTAACTTTTAAAACTTATTTTTTAAACTTAAAATCAGGGGCTTCAAGTTCTCCATTACTGTTCTTTTCAAAATTATTCTGGATAGTTTGGTTTTTTTATTTTCATAAAATACTGGGCTAGGAACTCTTCTAAGAATTTTAAGTGAGATTACATTGAATCTATAGATTTGGGGGATGTCTCAATCAGTTTTGGAAGCTTATAAGAAAATACTGTAGACAGAGTAATTTATAAACAAATAGAAATTTACTTCTTCTAATTCTGGAAGCTGGGAAACCCAAGATCCAGATGCTTGCAGGTTCTGAGTCAATCCTTTGATTTGCAGTATATCTCATGAAACAACTTCTTTCAGATTCAGATTTGAAGGTAAAGACACTATTTTGCTAAGGTAAATGACAATAGAGAAGAGGGAAGAGAAAGGTACAATAAGCCAGTTTCTTGCATCAAGTATAGAAATCTTACATCATGCAAGGCCTACTGGTAAACAGAAAAAAATATGAGAAACATATAAAGGCTATTATGAAATATATCATGTTCGGTTTTCCTCCACGTCAGTTGCCCACCAAGTAGCCAGTATTTCTGCTACTGACAAAAGTCTGCAAAACCCCAAAGATCCATTAAAGTAATTGCTTTGAGGTGAGGGAAAGGAAACAATTTCAGAATTACTTGGCTCATCACTCTAACAACTTAGAGAAGTTTTGTTAATGGGCAAATGGTTCAACACACTTGAAAGATAGTTATTTGCTTGGCGCTAGGTTATTCACAAAGTTACTACAACTGAAATTACTGTAAACCAAAAATAAAAGCTCAAAAATTTCTAAGGTCTTTGCATCCACCATTTCTCAATGCATATATTTTTCTTTGACACCAATACTTGTCCAGATCCTAACTCCATCTTCAATACTGTTAACCTACCTCTAGTTCTCCAAGAACTGAAAAAGTGTCCCTGTCAAATTACAGTGAATTTCCCAGCAATAATCTACCCTCTCAATGTCACATTGAAAAAGAGAAAAATAGTGTGATTTCAATCCTATTCATTAAAAAAAATTATTGAGTACTTAATATGTGCTAGGCACTGCATATCAGGACTGAAGTAAAGTCCCTGAGCTTATTAAATTTTGCTAGGAAAGACAGAGAAGCCAAGACATATATCTTTTTGGTGATTGGTATTATGAAGCAAAACAAATCAGGGTAACAGGGGGATGGAGAGGGATGAGTGGGGAGCAATAAAAACATCATTTAAGTCAGGAAAATATTCAGCTTTCCTTTTTCAATCCTGGAGTTTAAACACAGGGCCCTGAACATGCCAGGCAAGTGCTGAGTCACTGAGCCATATCCCCAGAAATATTCAGTTTAATAGCATGTGTAGACTGACTTAGAATCCATGAAATCTAATATTATCATGATTGATTTTCATTTCCACCTGGCTTCAGGCGTGGTGCACAGGAGATGCTCAATAAATGCAATGAAAACAAATAAATCCAATGGTAACAAATATACTTAGACTATCTCTTGAATTTAGACAGATCTTGACACCATACAGATGGACTGTTTGCAAATGCATAGTCCATACTTTGTGTTCTATCTTCATAAATGTTGATAACTAATTCTAGAATATCAGGAGATGTAAAAAGGTATAAAGTCATAGATAACCACTTTCCTCTAAACCAAGCAAGTGCCCATCTTTTCACTTATTCCCCGGTTTCATCTAGGGGCTAGGATCTCCAAAGCATCCTTGGGTGAAGTCAACAGCTAAACAGTTTCTATAGCTAGTTAACTGGCAAACACATGGCAAACGATAAGGGACAGTTTACAAAACACAGCAGAGATTCATTTATTCATTTAATAATCATTTTTAAAGCAAATACTATGGAGTTGGGGAATGTAGCTCTGTGGTAGCTTGCCCACACTGCAACACACAAACAAACAAGCAAACTACTACATGCTAAGAACGGTGTTAGGTATGGAATAAATTACTGCACTTCAGGCCAGAATCGAGCTCTCAGGCACTTCAATTTGGAAAATAGAATTGTTCATATATCCAGAGCTGATCAAATTGACAGACTACCTACACTCCTCAAATTACTAGGCAAAATGTCAATCAGTCAGGGAATCACTATGAGCAGTGGAGAGAAAGGATTTATCATAGGAAGTGGTCCTGGCCTCATTGACCAAAGGATGAGAAGTAGAGACCCAAGAGGGCATTGAAGGATGAGAGAAGCCACCTACCATCAGTTTGAGAAAGCCTAACACATCCAACTGTTGAAGAGGAAGAAGGAATGTCAGGAAACATTTAGGAAGATGTTTCTGACTCTCTGGCTCCCAGCACTGCTGTTGATTAAGAGTCAACAGTTAGGCCTGGAGTGGTATGGCTCACGCCTTTTATCCCAGCACACAGGAAACAGAAGCAGCCAAATCGCTGTGAGATTGAAGCCAGCCTGGTCTATGTAGCAAATTCCAAGCCAGTTAGGGCTACAGGGAGACTCTGTCCCCCCCCACCTCCCCAAAAAACAAAAGAGTCAACAGTTGGAAAGAAGACCTAGCCTCAGAGGGAAGGTGAGAGGAGACAAGCTGGGATCTGCTGTCACCTGTATCTTTATTTTAACTTACTATAACAACCTTTGCATAATAATGCCTCTTATTTTAGTCTTGCTTTACAAATATTGTGGAAATTCCTCGTTGGGCCAACTCTAACCCAGAACTTTAAGGGAAAGGAATCCTGGAGAAACGTGATTCCAGTGAGCAAGTTGGCACTCCTCATACTGCTGTGCTAGGAAACTCATGGCTGATGTGCTGACAGAACTCAAATGGCAACTGGCAGGGTACTCAGAGAAGGTGCAGAATGGATGCATGGCCACAAAGGCTAGAAAGCATCCTTTAACAGATCCAGCAGGACTTACCATCCTGGAGGACAGAATACAGGGAAAACGACTAAGAGATTTCCTGCTGAGATGGGACTAAGGAAACCATTACTTAGGCTAAGGCAGATTTAGGACAACTATTTTCATTCTGAACTGAGACGAAACAGCAGCCAAAATTCCCATAGTACTTGGTACAACCAGATTTTTAAAGAGCTCTTTTTCCTGAAAGGCCCAAGCACATACATATATAGAGTTCCTTCCATATACAGAGTTATCTGGGAAGACATTATCTTAACACAAATTAGGAAGGCTCCACATCACTAAAATGCACAAATTCATTATCAGCAGTGCTTAGAATAGCTCCTTACAAGAGAAAAAATGCTTATTAGAATCAATTATATTTAACTAATTTATTTTTGCCACCTTTATTTTCCTATTTAAAGAAAGTACTGACTTGTATATTAACTCTTTAAGGATTTCAGTACTTTTTATCTTTGGGGAAAAAAAGGAAAGAAAACATTTGTCATTCTAGAAGCATAAGCAGTTGAACCAGCACACAATGACATAGTTAATTCACCAACGGAATTTGTTGCCATAGCTCCAGTGAGGGACAGGGTAGATTAAACAATGGCCTTTTTCACAACTGCAGCTTTCACCACAACCTGCCTGTCCCTACACAACAGGCCATCATAGCGCCAGTCCAGGGCACAGCAATTGTCAATGAACAACAATCCAGAGGGGACAAGAGGACGCTTATGGCAAATAAAGCACGGGAGCTGAACAACTTGAATCTCTGCTTATCCAAATTACTGGACACTCCTAAATTCCTCAGAGCTTATCTTTTAGCACTGGGCATAGTGAGCTGGCTTGACCTTTAGCCAAGTGTCCCGTACAAGTCCAGAGTCATAGAAATTTCACCCTGTGACTCAAAAGAACTCATAAGGGAGTGGATCCCAAAGAAGAAAGAAGGTCAGGAATAAATGTAGTGGGACACCAGAAATGCACCATGGACAAGGACAACTGTACTCCCAAATTCTCACGCAAGGTAATACAGATGCTTTCTTGTTAATTTTGACTTCCTTAAATATCAAAGTTGGTTCAAAAATCAAGTCTTATGTATCTGTGAGTGTGACAAACCTGTGCTATCAACAGAGTCACACTGAAAATGGAAATATATTCACTCCATCTTAAGATGATTTTTAAAAAGGGAAAACAAAATGGAGCTAATGTTTCTGCATCCTCTTACAAAATTTTTGTAAGCTCCTTAGATAGATTTAGACAACAGGAGCAAACTTATTTATAAGAAATAGTCAGGGAGCTGGTATGGTGGAGGCTCATGCTGGTAATCCCAGCCCTCAGGAGCCTGAGGCAGAATGATCACAGGTTCAAGGCCAACAAGACTCTGTCTCATTAAAAAATAAAAGTCCAGAGCTGAGAGTGTAGCTTAGTATAGAGTGTGCTTAGCATATCTGAGGCCCTGGATTCAGTCCCCACAGCCTAAACCAAAATACAAAGGAAAAAGGCAAATTGGTATAAGGAAATACAAGTAATTCAAGGTAAAGAAGGATGCCTAGGGCACTGGAGGATAATGTAAAAATATTTTAACAAAATGTTCATTGTCTCCTGAAGTGAGAGCTTTTCCTACTGGAAATGTCAAAAGATCTTGATTAGAACATCCATTTCTTTCTCTTTTTTCTTTTGTTCTGTCATTTTTGTCATTCTTGTCCTTCTTCCCCCTCCTCTTCTTCCTCCTCCTACTTCTCCTCCTCCTCCCCCTTTCCTTTTTCATTTTCTTTTCTTTTCTTTTCCTGAGACGTCTTACAAACAGTCCAAACTGACCTTAGTCTCACTATGTAACCAAGGCTGGCCTAGAGTTCATGATCCTCTGACCGCTACTTCCCAAAGGCTGGGACTATAGGTGTATATCACCACACTGGTTCTTACCTCAAATCCTTATTTATATTCTCATTTGTAAGTGAGAAAATTGAAGTTCTTAGAAGTTAAATTGTCCAAGGTAGTAAAAGGAGAACTGGAATTTAGGTACTTAAGATCGAATTTAATTTTTCCTTTAAACCTATACTGCCAAATAAGGAAGCAAACTACTAACTACACATAGCTTTTTAAATTAATTAAAATTAAATATAAGGGGCTGGAGAGATGACTCAGCAGTTAAAAGCACTGATTGATCTTGTAGAGGACCAGGGTTCGATTCCTAACACCCATATGGCCGCTAACAACCATCTGTAACTCCAGTTCCAGGAGATCTGAAGCCCTCTTCTGTCTTCCTTGGGCATTGCACAACATGGATACAGTTACACACATGCATATAATGCATTCATACACATAAAATAAAAATAATAAATTAAAATATTTTAAAATTAAATATGATTTAAAATTCAATTTCTCAGCCATGCTAGCCATATTTCAAGTGTTCAGTAGCTACATGTAGCTAGTGACTAGTTTTATTTGGACAGTGCAATTATAGAACATTCTATAATTACAGAAAATTCTAATCAATAATATGGCTATAAATCATAATTTCTCCTTTATATATGTTGATGCATGTTCTGAGACTATACTGCAGTTCTGTTACAAGTAATATGGTTTTAATTTTTTGCATTAAAATCTCATTCATATGAAGTCTCTTCATTTGCATAGTGCCAAGTTAACTCTGATCTACAAATTAATAATATAGATAAGAGTCAAGGAGACTGCTAAATGCACTTCAGAGACCAAAGATTTTTAAGCACCATCAAATAACTCCAGAAGCACTCACTTAGATGCAAGCAATTGATATGATAATTACACATCATTTTTATTTATTCATTAAAATAGGGATCCCCTAAGGTGTCCTTGTAGGGAATAATGTGTTAGCATACTTATTTGTAGTAACCCTTTTGCTATTTCTAAATTCTATGTAAAATCATTTTATGCTATTGATTTACCTTCCTCTCTTCCTTTGGAACATACATTAAGTTGTTAGCAAAAATACTTCCACACTGACGTTTTGATTAGTTCAAGATCCATTCCAAAACCCTCACTTACTCCACTGTATTCCATGATTTCTAGGAAGAGTGCTCCTTTGGACCTACTATACAACCTCTCATATCACATGAGTTGGGTACATATTTGCTGATTGACTGACAGAGACAGGTCTTTCAAGATCCCACTCACTCAAATGGACTCTGATTTTGCACACAGAATACATGGATCAAATGGAAAACTTTCTCATGCTTGCTTCTTTCTTTTGTACCAATCTTTGCTGCCAAGTCTACCTGGTGAGATAAGGGCTTTCTGTTTAGAAGAAAGAGAAGACTTCTGGAAGGGAGGGGTAGAGTGTGATTTGGAAACTATATTGCATTGGCCACTCCTTTCAAAGAACTTCAAGGTGTTTTGTTTAGAAAACAGCACTTAGTTATTGTTGTTGATGGTGGTGGTGGTGGTAGTGGGGTGTGTGTGTGTGTGTGTGTGTGTGTGTGTGTGTGTGTGTGTGTGTTTGGCATGCTGGGGATCAAACGAATGCATTGCACATGCCAGGCAAGCATTCTACTACCGAGCTACATCCCCAGGCAAGCATTTATGTTTCTAAATCCTTAGCTGAGATGGTTTCTTATAGCTTGCTGAGCCCTGACATGTCAAACATTAATGTCTTTTGTCTTGGCTTCTATTTACTGTACATTGTACTAGGTTTCATAAGGACATGCTCATACAAGTATCTAATATACTTTGAGCATATTCCCCATACCCTCCTCCTAAACAAATTCCTCAACCTATCAGTAAGCTCAAAGGACATTAGCTGTTGTTTCCTCTTCTTCCTTAGGGAAAATTTCTAGTCCACACGCCATAAGTGAGGAAAGAAAAATTAATAGAAACAATGTAAATGTGCATCAAATATTTATACTCTATCTGGAAGTTGTTAAACAATTTAGAACCTGCCAGATTTATAGATAACTGAGCATTTTGAAAGGCCACCTAAGGGGACAATAGCTATTTACGTGTTTGCTTTTTATTCTAAAATATCATTAGACCTTCTTTCCTTTCATCTCTCTGTAATTCCAAATATCATAGGAACAGGTGTGATTTGCATACTTTTCAGCTAATTCAACAGTCATGTGTCCTTTGGAAATCATGACAGGCTGTTCCAAGGGTCATGGATTTTCTTAACTGTGGTAGCAGATACGTAACCCCTGCCTTAAGTGGCTTGGCTGCTGCTTCCCCTTCTGAATAATGATAGGTGGCATACAGATTGACTCTCTAGAGTGCCGTAGCCTCTCCTCATACCTCACCCACTATGATCCCCCGAGGCAAGTCTTGGTGAGTCCAAATCCCCCCAAATCTTCTGGGCTCACTAAAATGGCTCAATGAGGAGGCAAAAAGTCATGGAATGGGAGATTAGCTTTGTGAGGGTCTGTGATCAAACCTAGGGGTTTCCTGCATTTCCTGCCATTAGGAACTATGGGGAAGGAGAGGAATCTTTAATTTTTCTCTTATTTTTGTCCTTTATTTTGAAGGACCTAGAGTCAGCTCTCAAATATCATAGGATAAAGAAAATGGCAGAATTGGCAGAAATTAATTTTGATCCATTTTCACTACAAGGCCTTAAAGTATGAAAATATATTTTTTATTTCACTCTTGCCTTAGGTATTAGAACAATTCTGTTGTGTGACACTATTTCTGGGGAGGTATGAACAAATGTCTACTCACCTCAGATAGGGAACGGACGACAGACCAAAGTAAGGATATTGTATCACCAAAGTCCAACTTGGTGAATCAGTGTTTTATTGGGGTTACTTACAGGAATATGGGTGAGGGGTTACTTTCAGGAGCAGAAATTACTCAAAGACAGGTGCATCACTCCAAACCCACCCCAGCTCACAAACGCTGGAAACATGGAGCTCACTGCACAATCTGCAGGCAGCTCAGTTAGTCTGAGCTTCTTCCAAGCAGTGATGTCAAGGTCATTCAGGCAGTGATGTCAAGATTACCCAGGCAGTGATGTCAAGGTCACCCAGGCAGGGATGTCAAGGTCATCCAGATAGCTCCACTTTTCTCAAACTGTCCCCCCACAGTCTTTAACTCCTTATCTAAATGCTTGAGGACAGAGGGCCCTAGTGAATCTGGTCAGTTTCGGAGACTTCCTGTGGTATTAAGTTGCTTATTTTGGAGTTTTAACAAGCTCCCCTGCTGGAGGGAATGTTTAACTTTCCTTTAGAACATCCTGTGCCTTAATAAGCTTCCCTCCAAGATGGAATTTATTGCTATACAATATATTCTCTTTGAACCAAGCAAATTGTAGCATGCCTGTAATCCCAGCACTTGAGAGGCTGAGGCAGGATTGCTGTGAGCTCAAGGCCAGCCTGGGCTACAACAGCAAGAACCTGTCTCAAAGCAACAATAGTTTTCTTTGTTTCTCATGAATGATAAATACTCTTCCCACACATGTACACATTCATGAACACACACACACACACACACACACACACACACACACCCCACCACCACCACCACCACCACCACACCACACACACCACACCTGCACATATACACATAGGAGATAAGGAATTTCAAAAATTGGCAAGTATGGCCGAGGACAAAGAGAACTATATCTGTTCCAAATCTATTTTTCTTAGTAGCACTGATTTAAGTAAAAAATAAAAGCATGAGGTTTAGGGAGATGGCTCCATGGGTAAGAGTACTTGCTACCAAAGCAAGGGGCTCTGAGTTCAAAACCTAGTGCTTATTGGCCAGCCAACCTGGCCAAAATGGTGAGCTTCAGGTTCAGTGAGAGGCCCTGTCTCAAAAGATAATGTAGATAGTGATAGAGGAAGACAGTTGATGTCCTCCTCTGCCTCTGCATCACACATGCATGCACACACACACACGCACGCATGCACGCATGCATGCAAGCATGCATGCAGGCACGCACACGCGTGTGCAGAAAGAAATGAAAAGAAAAAATCATGGAAGAATTTAAATGATAATTTTTTTTGAAAACAAAAGCCAATATGATTAGAGTTTTTAACATCATCTTTTCTAAAAGTCAAT